CCCCCCCCAAACAGGACACAACCTCCAACCATAAGCTTCCATCTCCAATCTAACATAAAAGAACGGTTTTTGGCTCTATACAGATTTTATGGAACCCGTACGTCATGTGACCACCGCGTTTCTTCTCCCACGCTCGGCGCCGCCACACCCTCCATTATAGAAGCAAGGCATCATGGGATGTCCGGTATGTGGACAAGTCTCAGAATGTGTGGAAATGACCCGGGAGGGAGCAGGAGACGGAGTCCGCCATCGATGAAGGGACGAGGAGATTAACCCCCCGAGTGACTGACGGGGGAGGGGCAGTGTCACGGCATCTCAGTGAGCCGGCGGATCAGGCGACAGATGTGCGCTTTCTGTGACACCAATTACACAATGAATAATGTACAGATTGCCTCAGGATGTTGTAACAAGTATCAGCGCCGCTCAATTCCACTCGGTGACAACTCGCGATCCGGCAGATGGAAATGAGCCAAATCAACAAGAAAAGCGAAACAAAATGCCAGGACAGGACGCAGCAGCCACGCTGGAAGCTGGCAAACGAGGGATGGAGAGGAAGACAATGGAGGAGACAATTCCCCATAACCCCCAACAGCCGGTCAATCTACATCCAGATTTATATTCTAGAATGAGAGAGGAGAACCCAACAACCAGAAGCTCTCGTGTGGTAATGTCATCTTCAGTCTTTCCAAATCTGCAACTTTTATTAAAATGATCCCTGGTGATCCTGCTATGAAGGTCCTTGTTCGGGCACTTCCTGTTATAGGTGACAACACTCTGTCCCTGTCTCCCAACTGTCCTCCTGTGTTGTCACCCTGTCACACGGGGTTCCAAAGGAGGCCATACCTACACAGAGACATGGTCCACTGTTGTCACCATCAGGAAACCTACACTGAGAAATGCCGTGCAGACCCAGGAACTCAGCACAGGGATGGTGGGAGCCCCTCATAATGGGCACAGCGGGTGTACAGACCCGGGAACTCAGCACAGGGATGGTGGGAGCTCCTCATAATGGGCACAGCGGGTGTACAGACCCGGAAACTCAGCACAGGGATGGTGGGAGCTCCTCATAATGGGCACAGCGGGTGTACAGACCCGGAAACTCAGCACAGGGATGGTGGGAGCCCCTCATAATGGGCACAGCGGGGGTACAGACCCGGGAACTCAGCACAGGGATGGTGGGAGCTCCTCATAATGGGCACAGCGGGTGTACAGACCCAGGAACTCAGCACAGGGATGGTGGGGGCCCCTCATAATGGGCACAGCGGGTGTACAGACCCGGGAACTCAGCACAGGGATGGTGGGGGCTCCTCATAATGGGCACAGCGGGTGTACAGACCCGGGAACTCAGGAATGTCTCTCGGTGGGGGTTCTTTATCTGCCACATTTTAGATCTGAGCCCCCACAAGTCTGTGACGGATCATGTGACACGATGGGAATATCGTCCACGCCACCCGCGCACAGCCAACCATAGATGTCGCCGCAATCACATATGGGTCTGATCTGCGGCTCTCTATTTGGCAATCGCCTTAGCCGCGCGCCCGCTTCATTGAGCATGACAACCGAGTTTTAAGTTTCATTTAATTTTCATTTTGAAATATAATTAGGAAGTGTTCGCGGGAAGATATCACTCGTCTGCAAATGTGTCAAGATTAATTTGTGCCGGCGTATTCACAAGTGTCAATAGTTAATTACCGAATCGTCTCCGGATGCCGGAATGACATTCCCAATCCACAACTCCCTTTATGGGATTTTTTTATTTATTTTTCTGGTTCCCGCATTCGGGGGACGCTCCCGGTGCCGGCGGACGAATGACGGCAACCCATAAAATATCCAAAAATCAGAACTCATTAAAACCGCCGGAGCGGCAAAAACCCGACCGAAACACTATTCAAATTAAAAGATAATTCCGCTAATAGTGTCAGATTCTTGAGGAATGAACATTCATTTGAGGGCTGGCGGGCGGAGCGCTCAGGGGGCCCGCAGCGTAGGGGCCCCGCCAGCATTGTTGTCGGAGGGGACGGGACCACGGACTGCAAACGTCAACAAGGCGGGAATCGTGTTTCTCTCCCCTGCCCCCCCAGAGAGATTGTTTAGGAAAGTTTTCTGATCTTCTGTCAGCGGGAAGTTCAGAGAGATGAAAAGATGGCGGAACAATCCAGAGGAAAGAAATCGTGAAATATGACGGGCGGTTCAGAGCCGAAAAATTGAAATTTGTTACATTTTAACCCATATTGATGCCAAAAGAATATCACAAGAGGGGTCCGTGTGCGGGAAGGGAATATCATAAGAGGGGTCCGTGTGCGGGAAGGGAATATCATAAGAGGGGTCTGTGTGCGGGAAGGTAATATCATAAGAGGGATCTGCGTGCGGGAAGGGAAAATCATAAGAGGGGTCTGTGTGCGGGAAGGGGATATCATAGGAGGGGTCTGTGTGCGGGAAGGGAATATCATAAGAGGGGTCCGTGTGCGGGAAGGGAATATCATAAGAGGGGTCTGTGTGCGGGAAGGGAATATCATAAGAGGGGTCCGTGTGCGGGAAGGGAATATCATAAGAGGGGTCTGTGTGCGGGAAGGGAATATCATAAGAGGGGTCCGTGTGCGGGAAGGGAATATCATAAGAGGGGTCTGTGTGCGGGAAGGGAATATCATAAGAGGGGTCCGTGTGCGGGAAGGGAATATCATAAGAGGGGTCTGTGTGCGGGAAGGGAATATCATAAGAGGGGTCCGTGTGCGGGAAGGGAATATCATAAGAGGGGTCTGTGTGCGGGAAGGGAATATCATAAGAGGGGTCCGTGTGCGGGAAGGGAATATCATAAGAGGGGTCTGTGTGCGGGAAGGGAATATCATAAGAGGGGTCCGTGTGCGGGAAGGGAATATCATAAGAGGGGTCTGTGTGCGGGAAGGGAATATCATAAGAGGGGTCCGTGTGCGGGAAGGGAATATCATAAGAGGGGTCTGTGTGCGGGAAGGGAATATCATAAGAGGGGTCCGTGTGCGGGAAGGGAATATCATAAGAGGGGTCTGTGTGCGGGAAGGGAATATCATAAGAGGGGTCCGTGTGCGGGAAGGGAATATCATAAGAGGGGTCTGTGTGCGGGAAGGGAATATCATAAGAGGGGTCCGTGTGCGGGAAGGGAATATCATAAGAGGGGTCTGTGTGCGGGAAGGGAATATCATAAGAGGGGTCCGTGTGCGGGAAGGGAATATCATAAGAGGGGTCTGTGTGCGGGAAGGGAATATCATAAGAGGGGTCCGTGTGCGGGAAGGGAATATCATAAGAGGGGTCTGTGTGCGGGAAGGGAATATCATAAGAGGGGTCCGTGTGCGGGAAGGGAATATCATAAGAGGGGTCTGTGTGCGGGAAGGGAATATCATAAGAGGGGTCCGTGTGCGGGAAGGGAATATCATAAGAGGGGTCTGTGTGCGGGAAGGGAATATCATAAGAGGGGTCCGTGTGCGGGAAGGGAATATCATAAGAGGGGTCTGTGTGCGGGAAGGGAATATCATAAGAGGGGTCCGTGTGCGGGAAGGGAATATCATAAGAGGGGTCTGTGTGCGGGAAGGGAATATCATAAGAGGGGTCCGTGTGCGGGAAGGGAATATCATAAGAGGGGTCTGTGTGCGGGAAGGGAATATCATAAGAGGGGTCCGTGTGCGGGAAGGGAATATCATAAGAGGGGTCTGTGTGCGGGAAGGGAATATCATAAGAGGGGTCCGTGTGCGGGAAGGGAATATCATAAGAGGGGTCTGTGTGCGGGAAGGGAATATCATAAGAGGGGTCCGTGTGCGGGAAGGGAATATCATAAGAGGGGTCTGTGTGCGGGAAGGGAATATCATAAGAGGGGTCCGTGTGCGGGAAGGGAATATCATAAGAGGGGTCTGTGTGCGGGAAGGGAATATCATAAGAGGGGTCCGTGTGCGGGAAGGGAATATCATAAGAGGGGTCTGTGTGCGGGAAGGGAATATCATAAGAGGGGTCCGTGTGCGGGAAGGGAATATCATAAGAGGGGTCTGTGTGCGGGAAGGGAATATCATAAGAGGGGTCCGTGTGCGGGAAGGGAATATCATAAGAGGGGTCTGTGTGCGGGAAGGGAATATCATAAGAGGGGTCCGTGTGCGGGAAGGGAATATCATAAGAGGGGTCTGTGTGCGGGAAGGGAATATCATAAGAGGGGTCCGTGTGCGGGAAGGGAATATCATAAGAGGGGTCTGTGTGCGGGAAGGGAATATCATAAGAGGGGTCCGTGTGCGGGAAGGGAATATCATAAGAGGGGTCTGTGTGCGGGAAGGGAATATCATAAGAGGGGTCCGTGTGCGGGAAGGGAATATCATAAGAGGGGTCTGTGTGCGGGAAGGGAATATCATAAGAGGGGTCCGTGTGCGGGAAGGGAATATCATAAGAGGGGTCTGTGTGCGGGAAGGGAATATCATAAGAGGGGTCCGTGTGCGGGAAGGGAATATCATAAGAGGGGTCTGTGTGCGGGAAGGGAATATCATAAGAGGGGTCCGTGTGCGGGAAGGGAATATCATAAGAGGGGTCTGTGTGCGGGAAGGGAATATCATAAGAGGGGTCCGTGTGCGGGAAGGGAATATCATAAGAGGGGTCTGTGTGCGGGAAGGGAATATCATAAGAGGGGTCCGTGTGCGGGAAGGGAATATCATAAGAGGGGTCTGTGTGCGGGAAGGGAATATCATAAGAGGGGTCCGTGTGCGGGAAGGGAATATCATAAGAGGGGTCTGTGTGCGGGAAGGGAATATCATAAGAGGGGTCCGTGTGCGGGAAGGGAATATCATAAGAGGGGTCTGTGTGCGGGAAGGGAATATCATAAGAGGGGTCCGTGTGCGGGAAGGGAATATCATAAGAGGGGTCTGTGTGCGGGAAGGGAATATCATAAGAGGGGTCCGTGTGCGGGAAGGGAATATCATAAGAGGGGTCTGTGTGCGGGAAGGGAATATCATAAGAGGGGTCCGTGTGCGGGAAGGGAATATCATAAGAGGGGTCTGTGTGCGGGAAGGGAATATCATAAGAGGGGTCCGTGTGCGGGAAGGGAATATCATAAGAGGGGTCTGTGTGCGGGAAGGGAATATCATAAGAGGGGTCCGTGTGCGGGAAGGGAATATCATAAGAGGGGTCTGTGTGCGGGAAGGGAATATCATAAGAGGGGTCCGTGTGCGGGAAGGGAATATCATAAGAGGGGTCTGTGTGCGGGAAGGGAATATCATAAGAGGGGTCCGTGTGCGGGAAGGGAATATCATAAGAGGGGTCTGTGTGCGGGAAGGGAATATCATAAGAGGGGTCCGTGTGCGGGAAGGGAATATCATAAGAGGGGTCTGTGTGCGGGAAGGGAATATCATAAGAGGGGTCCGTGTGCGGGAAGGGAATATCATAAGAGGGGTCTGTGTGCGGGAAGGGAATATCATAAGAGGGGTCCGTGTGCGGGAAGGGAATATCATAAGAGGGGTCTGTGTGCGGGAAGGGAATATCATAAGAGGGGTCCGTGTGCGGGAAGGGAATATCATAAGAGGGGTCTGTGTGCGGGAAGGGAATATCATAAGAGGGGTCCGTGTGCGGGAAGGGAATATCATAAGAGGGGTCTGTGTGCGGGAAGGGAATATCATAAGAGGGGTCCGTGTGCGGGAAGGGAATATCATAAGAGGGGTCTGTGTGCGGGAAGGGAATATCATAAGAGGGGTCCGTGTGCGGGAAGGGAATATCATAAGAGGGGTCTGTGTGCGGGAAGGGAATATCATAAGAGGGGTCCGTGTGCGGGAAGGGAATATCATAAGAGGGGTCTGTGTGCGGGAAGGGAATATCATAAGAGGGGTCCGTGTGCGGGAAGGGAATATCATAAGAGGGGTCTGTGTGCGGGAAGGGAATATCATAAGAGGGGTCCGTGTGCGGGAAGGGAATATCATAAGAGGGGTCTGTGTGCGGGAAGGGAATATCATAAGAGGGGTCCGTGTGCGGGAAGGGAATATCATAAGAGGGGTCTGTGTGCGGGAAGGGAATATCATAAGAGGGGTCCGTGTGCGGGAAGGGAATATCATAAGAGGGGTCTGTGTGCGGGAAGGGAATATCATAAGAGGGGTCCGTGTGCGGGAAGGGAATATCATAAGAGGGGTCTGTGTGCGGGAAGGGAATATCATAAGAGGGGTCCGTGTGCGGGAAGGGAATATCATAAGAGGGGTCTGTGTGCGGGAAGGGAATATCATAAGAGGGGTCCGTGTGCGGGAAGGGAATATCATAAGAGGGGTCTGTGTGCGGGAAGGGAATATCATAAGAGGGGTCCGTGTGCGGGAAGGGAATATCATAAGAGGGGTCTGTGTGCGGGAAGGGAATATCATAAGAGGGGTCCGTGTGCGGGAAGGGAATATCATAAGAGGGGTCTGTGTGCGGGAAGGGAATATCATAAGAGGGGTCCGTGTGCGGGAAGGGAATATCATAAGAGGGGTCTGTGTGCGGGAAGGGAATATCATAAGAGGGGTCCGTGTGCGGGAAGGGAATATCATAAGAGGGGTCTGTGTGCGGGAAGGGAATATCATAAGAGGGGTCCGTGTGCGGGAAGGGAATATCATAAGAGGGGTCTGTGTGCGGGAAGGGAATATCATAAGAGGGGTCCGTGTGCGGGAAGGGAATATCATAAGAGGGGTCTGTGTGCGGGAAGGGAATATCATAAGAGGGGTCCGTGTGCGGGAAGGGAATATCATAAGAGGGGTCTGTGTGCGGGAAGGGAATATCATAAGAGGGGTCCGTGTGCGGGAAGGGAATATCATAAGAGGGGTCTGTGTGCGGGAAGGGAATATCATAAGAGGGGTCCGTGTGCGGGAAGGGAATATCATAAGAGGGGTCTGTGTGCGGGAAGGGAATATCATAAGAGGGGTCCGTGTGCGGGAAGGGAATATCATAAGAGGGGTCTGTGTGCGGGAAGGGAATATCATAAGAGGGGTCCGTGTGCGGGAAGGGAATATCATAAGAGGGGTCTGTGTGCGGGAAGGGAATATCATAAGAGGGGTCCGTGTGCGGGAAGGGAATATCATAAGAGGGGTCTGTGTGCGGGAAGGGAATATCATAAGAGGGGTCCGTGTGCGGGAAGGGAATATCATAAGAGGGGTCTGTGTGCGGGAAGGGAATATCATAAGAGGGGTCCGTGTGCGGGAAGGGAATATCATAAGAGGGGTCTGTGTGCGGGAAGGGAATATCATAAGAGGGGTCCGTGTGCGGGAAGGGGATATCATAGGAGGGGTCTGTGTGCGGGAAGGGAATATCACAAGAGGGGTCCGTGTGCGGGAAGGGGATATCATAGGAGGGGTGTGTGTGCGGGAAGGGAATATCATAGGAGGGGTCTGTGTGCGGGAAGGGGATATCTGTGTGTGTGCGGGAAGGGAATATCATAGGAGGGGTCTGTGTGCGGGAAGGGAATATCATAAGAGGGGTCTGTGTGCGGGAAGGGAATATGATAGGAGGGGTCTGCGTGCGGGAAGGGAATATCTCAATCTCCTGATTGGCGCTGCTTTTAATTTATGAAGAGACGTGTGGCTACACCTAAACCGGCCCTGTAGTTCTGTCTCCTCCTTTCTTTACATGTTCTAGTGTCCTCCTGATCCTCACACCTCCCTCGTGTCTCCAAGTGCAACAAACCTTTATCCTAAGGTCCCATCAGAAGACAGGAGGCCGTCTCCGTGGTTTTGGCGCCTTTCACAGCCAAGAAATCTCAGCCTGGGTGCCGGACGTTCTCTGAGCCCTGAGGAAGCGTCGGCTCTGACCATGAAACGCATTGGAATTTATAAGGATTAAAC